TTATGGGGCTCTCTCTACACTGTATGCAGCAACGCGGCCTGCTGGGTGCTTTGAGTGACAAAGCAAAACAGAGAGCAGAAGAGCTCGGCGGATGATGGTACCTTCTGGTCAAGGTTGCAGTGGCAGATGCTGAAGGCCACAGGAGACAATGGAAGACTTCAGAGGCCTGTGGGTGGAGCCCTGGGGCACAGCTGACTGTGTGGTGCCTCCCTGGTGTCTACAACCTCTTGGAGAAGACACGCTTTCTGCCTGGAAACTGGATGGTGATCCTTTGTCTGCACTCTTCGTCCTCATAAGGCTGATGGATCCTCCTGAAAATCCATGGGTACACGTGTGTAACCGAGAAGCGAGACAAAGTGGTATTTCTCAGACTTAAATACCAGTAGGGGTTGCCTAAGGATTTAAAAAAAAAAAAAGATTTATTTTTTATTGGAAATCAGATATACAGGAAGAAGGAGACAGAGAGGAAGATCTTCCATCTGCTGACTCACTCCCCAAGTGGGCACAATGGGCCAAGTTGAGCCAATCGGAAGCTAGGAATCAGGAGCTTTTTCTGGGTCTCCCACGCGGGTGCAGGGTCCCAAGACTTTGGGCCATCCTCCACTACTCTCCCAGGCCACAAGCAGGAGCTGGAAGGGAAGTGAGGCTGCGAGGATTTGAACTGACACTTGTATGGGATCCTGGCGTGTGCAAGACGAGGACTTTAGCCACTAGGCTACTGCGCCAGGCCCAAGGATCTTCTTTTTAAAGATTTACTTATTTGAAAGGCAAAGTGACACACAGAGAGAAAAATTACCCATCTGCTAGTTCATTCCCCAGATGATGTCGGCAGCCAGGGCTGTGCTAGGAACCTATCTGAGTGTCCTACGTAGGGGCAGAGGCCCAAGCATTTAAACCATCCTCTGCTGCTTTCCCAGGCGTACCAGTAGGGAGCTAGGTTGGAAGCGGAGCAGCTGAGACTTGAATCGGCAGCCCATTTGGGTTGCCAGTGCCACAGATGGAGGCTTAACGTGCCACGTCATAGCATCGGCCCTGACTTTCATGCGCTGCTCACTGGCCAGAGATGGGGTATGAAACTCATCTGGTACAGGCAGCTTGTCCCTTGATCCTATGCCCACCCCATAGCTCCTCTCCTCGCCAGCATCCCATTTGTCACCCTGGTCATTTCTGCCTCAGGGTTTGAACAAGGCAGTGAGCTACCCATGCAGGATCAGTTAAGTAATGAGCTCAGGCTCCTTGGGGTGTCTCTGTGCTGGCCATTGGCAGATTTACGGGTGTCTATCCCTGAAGCCAGTGCCTCTTCATTTTCACTTCCCTGTGACAGGTGCAGGGGCCACCCCTCCGGCTCCATGGTGTCCCAAGGGACCACAGAGTGTCCTTCTATTTTGTTCTGCTCCCAATTCCCAGAAGTTGCCAGAAGCTTCCAGAAACTCTGAGATTCTAAGCATCAGCCCCATTTTTTTTAAACAACAGTGCTTTGGGGGTTGTGGGAAGAGTGTCCATGCAGGATTCTAGAAAGTTCCATCCTCCTCCAGGAACTGTGCTGTGCATTACCACTCCTACTCCCTTCCCCCGACACAGGCCATGGGGGACAGGGTCTCTGAGCACAGGGGGATGCTGGCATGGAAGGAGAGGCAATGGGACAAAGGCTCCACACAACGGGGATGGTCTTTGGCTGATGCTGTGCAATGCAAGGTGAGCCTTCCTCTGTGCTGACTGGCCTTGGCTCCCAGGAAGCTCAGGGCAAAATCTAGTGTAATCCCCACCTGTCTCTGTGGCCTGTGCCCGCAGCCAGACATGTGTGGCACCAGTGCTGGTTGCTGGATGTGCCCTGGCCTTTGCCGAGGAGGCCAGGGTTCCCAGAAACACGAGTGTGAATGCCACAATGGCACGTGTGGAGAGTGACTACTGGTCCTGCAAGAATGCAGGAGGGAAATGACAGGCTGGGAGGAGGCCACGTGAGACTGGGGAGTCGGGGGTTTGCCAGATGGTATGTAGGCTGTCCAGTTAAATCCAAATCTCTTGGGATTGGTGCTGTGGCATTGTAGGTTAAGCTTTCACCTGCAGCACTAGTATCCCATATCGGTTCAGGTTGTAGTCCGGGCTGCTCCACTTCCAATCCAGCTCCCTGCTTATAACCTGTGAAAGCAGGAGAGTGGCTCAAGTTATTGGGCCCCTGTTCCTACTACAAGGGAGACCTTGGAAATCTTTGTTTTTTTTTAAAGATTTATTTATTTTTATTGCAAAGTCAGATGTATAAAGAAGAAGGACAGAGAGGAAGATATTCCATGTGCTGCTTCATTCCTCAAGTGGCTGCAACAGCTGGAGCTGTGCCAATTCAAAGCCAGGAGCCAGGAGCCTCTTCTGGGTCTCCCACGCAGGTGCAGGGTCCCAAGGCTTTGGGCTATCCTGTACTGCTTTCCCAGGCCACAAACAGGGAGCTGGATGGGAAGTGGAGCGGCCGCTGGGATTAGAACTGGCGCCCATATGGGATCCAGGCACGTACAGAGAGGACTTTAATCAGTAGGCTACCACGCTGGGCCCAAAAAGAAATAAATCTTAACAAAACAAAACAAAGCAAAACAAAACAGGACCATGGCTTTCTTTTAGAAAGCTTTTCCATCTATGAATTTGTCATCACACAACCCATTCCATGATATTGTTTCTCTTTTAAGTCATGCAACAACAGCCTTGGACAGACCAAAGTCCACCTGCCAGTGAGGCGACAGCAGGCATGTGCGACTAAGCGTTCTTTTTTTTTTTTAATTTTTTTTTTTATTATTTTTTCATTGGAAAGGCGGATATACAGAGAGGAGAGACAGAGAGGAAGATCTTCCGTCCGATGATTCACTCCCCAAGTGAGCGCAACGGGCCGATACTATGCCGGTCCGAAGCCAGGAGCCTCTTCCGGGTCTCCCACGCGGGTGCAGGTTCCCAAAGCTTTGGGCTGTCCTCTGCTGCTTTCCCAGGCCACAGGCAGGGAGCTGGAAGGGAAGCGGGGCTGCCGGGATTAGAACCGGCGCCCATATGGGATCCCGGGCGTGCAAGGCGAGGACCTTTAACCACTTGCGCCACCGCGCCGGGCCCGACTAAGCGTTCTTTAGCTTGGAGTCAGAGCGAGAGATGGAGAGCTTTGCAGTAGGGAATCAGTAGACATGCCTGCCCTGGGATGGAGAGCTTCCGGGGTGCAGGGAAGAAAGTGACCCCTCCCAACTTCGCTTGAGTGGAGACACAATTGCCTGGTCTGCTGCTCTGTTCTCTTCTCTGGGAGCAATGCTTTCCCTGGGTCTGGATGTCAGGATCAACCCTGGGAGGCTGCCCCAAGTCTTGCTCTGGCCCCTGCAGCCCTGACTTTCCATCGCTATTGAGGGGTCTGGGACCGCCCCCCCCACCCCCATGCACACATGCGCATTGTCCACCTGCCGACGTTTGTGGCATTGGCTGTAGAGCTCCTCTCCGCACTGGGGACCACTGCTCTAAGAAAACAGTTCTTGTCCTTACCCTTGGACACGGACCATGGAGACATTAGGCCTGCAGAGTGCAAAGCCACAAGGTATGGCACTGCACACACACACACACACACACACACACACACACACACACACACACCTCTCAAGGATCGCTGCCCGCTCTTCTCTGGCGCTGGCATTGGTCACTGTCACACGCTATTCGTTTGCTGGCCAGGAATGCTTGTGACACATGAAGCATATCCAGGGAAGGCAGAGGTGGAGGGTGGAGCGAGGGAGATCCCCGGGGTGGGGACAGGGAAGAGACAGCCAGAGGACAAGGCCAGGATGAGTCTCTGCCGCCTCCATCCTTCCTCTTGGCCGTGCGGCCGGGGAGCCTAGCTCCCTGCTGGTGGCTGTCTGCAGGCAGCACATGTGCCTGAGTGACGGCCTCAATATTTACACAAGCCTGGCCCATAAGTGCACATGTGTTTTTAATGTTTTGCCTTTCTACACCGCAAACATGTCAATGCATACGAGCCTGCACACACACACACACACACACACACACACACACACACACACACACACACACACACGGCTGGCTGCGGCTTGAGCAGAAGGTGGGAGGGGTTCCTACTGATTTTTATTTACTTTTTTTTTTTTTTTAACACTGAGATCCCAAAGCTGACACCTCAGGGAAGTGGATTTGTGGACTTCCCGCCCACTCACACCTGTTAGGGTTGTCCTACCTGAGAAAGTGTTGCCTTGGGAATGTCCCTCCCGCCTCCCATGCCTTTGCCAGGCGCCCCAGCAGGGTCTAGAGGGAGTTATAAAAGGCAAGACCTCCCCCCTCGCAGCCAGACCTCCTCTCTCCAGTGTCCTCTTCCTCCCCGCAGCCACTGGGAGCACCAGCCAGGAGCGGGGCTGTGGCTGCGTGAGAAAGCGGACAAGTCAGGCAGCTCAAAGCTCCCGCCTCCCCTGCAAGCTTGGTGCATTGCACCGCGCTCACCCCCACGCCCCATTTCCCTCTCCTTCTGAGTCCCCTTTTCCTTCCTCCTCCTTCTCGGGTTATTTATTTATTTCTCTGCAGGGTTGGGGATGGGGGGCGGGGTTGCCGGCCCAAGGGGGTGTGGACCTGCGCCCGGGTCCAGGCGAACCCAGCCCTCCGGCCAGGGCAGCGATTGGTCCACGGGCGCCTCTGCCTGGCAAGGGGGCGAGGCGCGCGGTTCGCGGGCAGCCGGGAGCTGATTGGCTGCGCGCACTGCCCCCGAACCCGGCCGCAGGAGCGCGGCGCACTCGGGGCGTTGCAGCTTCGGCAGTCGGTGCCGCGCGCGCCTCGGAGCCCGCAGCGCTCTCGCGTCCGCAGCCACCGCCGCGCCAGAGTCCACCCAGGGCGGCTCCCCGTCCACGCACCCAGCGCCTGGGCCGAGTAGGGTGGGCACGCACCCTTTGTCCCCAGCCCCCGACTCGGGGACCGCTGGAAGTTTGCGGCGGGACGCGCGCCGGGGCAGCCCCGACGTCGCGGGAGGAGGCAGCGCGCCGAAGCCAAGCATGGGCAGCAAGCGCGGCGGCGCGGGGGGCCGCCGCTGGGCCGCCTCGGGCGTGCTGCTTTTGCTGCTATTGCTGGCGCTGGCGGCCGCGGCGAGTTCGGCCAGCGAGTACGACTATGTGAGCTTCCAGTCCGATATCGGCTCGTACCAGAGCGGGCGCTTCTACACCAAGCCGCCGCAGTGCGTGGACATCCCGGCGGACCTACGGCTGTGCCACAACGTGGGCTACAAGAAGATGGTGCTGCCCAACCTGCTGGAGCACGAGACCATGGCTGAGGTGAAGCAACAGGCCAGCAGTTGGGTGCCGCTGCTCAACAAGAACTGCCACATGGGCACGCAGGTCTTTCTGTGTGCGCTCTTCGCGCCCGTGTGCCTCGACCGGCCCATCTATCCGTGCCGCTGGCTCTGCGAGGCTGTGCGCGACTCGTGTGAACCCGTCATGCAGTTCTTCGGTTTCTACTGGCCCGAGATGCTCAAGTGCGACAAGTTCCCGGACGGCGACGTCTGCCTCGCCATGACCCCTCCTAACGCCACCGAAGCCTCCAAACCGCAAGGTGAGGCCCACGGTCCCGGGAGAGTGCGGGGGCGCAGGCAGAGCTCAGCACGGGTGGCTCCCTGACTCCGGACCCGGTGCGCTCAGTTCTAGGGCGCCCCGCAGGGCTTGCGCGTGCGCGGGGGGCGCTCCGGGAGGAGCTGGGGTCGCGTTTTCCTCGCCCGGAACAAAGCTCCGCGCTGGCGATTGAAGGAGATGGCTGGTTTTGCCTCTAGTCTTCTGCTGGCCTGGGGCGGGATGCGGGGCTGGGCGATGGGCAAACGCTCAGTTCCAAAGGGTGTGTGTAGCTTAGAATACAGCTTGGGGCTTTGTTTTCGTCTTTCTGAGCCGGGTCCCCAAGCTAGTCATCCAGTAGTGGTGGGGGGTGGGAGGGAGAGGTTAGATCCCGGGCTGTTGCAGAACTGGCTGAGCAACGAAAAGTTTAGGGAAAGAGCGAAAGGGTTTGCAGGCAGCAGCCCTGGACGGGCTCCTGGTCGATGCAGGGGGTTGGATGAAAGTCTGTCTTCCACGGCACACCCCACCCCCCCTCTCATCGCGGGCTCGCTCATTTGCACAATTCCGCAGGTAATTAGAAAGATAAAAATGTCATTAGCCCTGGGTTCATCTCCTCCCCGGAGGGAGTGTGGGGCCTTGCAAGTTGCCGGCAGCCTTCCCACTACCGCCTCCCCTTGCAAGGGCAGTTGTGCAGCGAAATCCCAAACTCTAAGAAGCAAAAGCAAAACTAAACGGGAATCCACCCCTTCCCTCCCCGCCCGAGTTTTTTTTTTTCTTTCCTTTAAGGGTGTAGATCCAGCTGTTGAGGTCTGGGCTCACCCCATGGGGGAAAGGTCAGGCCCCGGGTGGGGTTGGCATGGGATGGGGGCTCTTGTGCTGCCCTCTTGGTGGCTAATGGCTCTCTTGAAAGATGCCAGAGATTGGTCGAGGCTGACTAAGCTGGCTGTGTGGAGAGAGTTGGAGGCTTCCTGGAGAGGTGGGGTCCCTGGGGTCCCACCACCTCTACTGTGTGAGAGTGGGATCCCAGCGGTTGCCCAGGGCTTGTAGGGAGCTGCAGCTGGTCCAGCCTCTGCCTGGAAGAGGCCGGGTGACCAGTTGGTCACTCGTGGCGTTGGGTGGGAGCAAGAGACCGTTGCCAGTGGCTGTTGCTGGTCTCCTCCTGGGCAAGTGGTGGGTGGGATGTGGAGACCCTGGTGGTGGTGGTCTATGGGTGGGGTGGGTGTTACGCTCATCTCCCATCCCAGTGACCTGAGATGCCACTTGGACCTCTTCCACGGGGTCCTCGTGCAGGTCACTGTCACCCTCTGGAACTCTGCAAAAACAGAGCCGGAGGCTGTGAATGGGACTGGGGCTGGGCCAGACCCAGCACTGACTGCAGCACGGAGGGATCAGGGCCCTGGGGCTTTCCCTAAGACCGCTGAGCTCCGGAGTGTGTGCGTATGTGTAGACGTGCACAGGGGTGCGGGGATCGAGTCACACTGCTCCTGGGCCTGGAGCCTCGTGGGAAACAGTGCTTTGGCAGGAGATGCTCACACGTGCCCACGGTTGGGCGTTGCAGAGCCGTGCCCCACTTTGCTTACTTCCTGGTGCCCTGGTTCTTGGACATATGCGGTTAGTGCCTGGTATATTAATGGTTGTGTGATGTCCAGAAATGAACCGGAGACTTTTTTTTTTCTGGTGGGGATGCCGAGACCATGTCAGCTTGCCGTATGGGAAGAAACCATCCTCCTCCCCAAGGAAAGTCCTTTCTGAGCTGTGGGCTTCTGTGAGACCCCTCCTCTCCCAGGCTGGCCAGTTGTGGTATTCTTCCCTGTTGTGGGGTCCAGCTACATCCATGATGGCTTCCATCCACACCCTATTTTCTGCAGAACTTTCCCTAGGTGCCCCTTCTGAGTTCAGGGCTCTGGCCAGGGAAGAATGTGTTTGTGTGTGAGAGAGAAAACATGATCTTGTGTATGTGTGTGCTGATTTAAAAAAAAAATCCCCTTCATCCCAGTCCGCTGGGAAGCTTCTTGGAACTCCCTGTTAAATGGTAGCGGAATACACAAGTTTTCCGTGTTGTGTTAGACCCTCAAAGCTGTGATTCCGTTCTACCACTCGCTAGAGGACTAGGGTGGGGGCATTTGGCCTGCTGGGCAGTCCCAGGGGCCCCTTTGGAACTCTCCCCCACCACAACCCCTCCCCCCCCAAGAAAGGGAGGAGGAGGCAGCCCAGCTGAATATTCTATTACACATTGCCCCTCGCCTCTCTGCTGAGAGCTGCTGGCTGCTCTTGGGACCGCTGGGGGACGAGTAGGCATCGGTAAGGTCCTGCTGGAGACCCTGAGTTTGCTCCCACAGGCTGGGAGGTGACTTTTGCTAAATGTGTGTGTGTGTGTGCGCGTGCCCATGTGTGTGTGTTACCCTAAGTAAAGAAAACTTCCAGATACAGTTTTTTTCTTCTGGGATACATAGTTCAGCCACTTCCATTTTGTGTGACTCCCCCCACCCCACTCCCATCCTTTTTTTCCCTCCCAGTGAAAGTGGCTACCATGATGCCATGTTTTCCCTCTGGTCTGAAACAGCATCCTGCCCTCTGGCCTGCTCCCAGAACCCAGCCTCAAGGACACTCCCAACTTCTGAACCAAAGACCGGTAACACCATCTGGGAGTGTGGAGCATGGTAGCAATTTAATGTTTAATAAAGATTTTATTATTTTTCTTACTTGAAAGACAGAGATGAGAAAGGAGAGGGAAGAGAGATTGCTCACTTCCATAGTAGCTGTAATGGCCAGGGCTGGGCCAGGCCAAAGCCAGGAGCCTGCAACTCCTCTGAGCACCTGGGCAACTCCTCTGCTGCTGCTGCTTTCCCAGGCGCATTAGCAGTGAGCTGGATGGGAGGTGGAGTAGCCGGTGGTACACTGGGGGGTTGCTGGTGTTGTAAGTGGCTTAACGGGCCCCTGGAATGTAGTTCTGGCTGCTGTGAGCCTGGAAGGTGTTGGGTTCTGGCTGTACAGTCATGGAAAGTGGAGTTGCATACTAAGCCTCGACCTGCAGAGCCAGCGTCTCGTATGGGGGCTGGTTCGAGTCCTGGCTGTTCCACTTCCTCTCCAGCTGCCTCTAATGTGCATGGGGCAGCAGAAGATGAGTGCCTTACATTCACACGGGAGATCCACAAGGAGCTCCTGGTTTCTAATCAACCCAGCTCTGGCCATTGCAGCCATTTGGGGGGGTGAAACAGCAGATATAAATTCTTTCTCCTTGTGTAACTGACTTTCAAATAGAGATAAATAAATCTTTAAAAAGAAACAGCAAAAGTACATCTTAGCACCAAGCATTTTGGGGGTCTACTCATGTTTTCCCCACGATAGATATTCCCCCAACTCTCTGAGGTTCCCCTGGTACAGGTGGAAGGGAATCTGGTGACAAAGCCTAGCAGGTGTGGTGTGTCTCTCCTCAGCATCCTGCTTGGGACAGGGAAGAGGATGGGGACCCCTGCTGTGTGCTGCCCTCTGCTCTGAGCTTCCCTAGGGCTCTGGGGAAGCACTGCCTGGGCACTCCAGAGAGGGAGATGGATGTGGGCTGAGGAGGGCTCTGACTGCAGCCTGACCTGGGTGAGGAAGCCCTTGGGCCTGGCTCAGCCTTCTCTCTGAGCCCATGGTGAGGATGATGGATGAGGAGGCTGAGGATGAGGGAGGCCTCCCTCTGGCCTCAGCATCCTGTCCCCTGCGGCCTGGATGCCCCCACCCCCACACCCGACACCTCCTCTTCAAAGCACTTCACAGTTGTTCTCCAAGAGAGCCTTGGTTGGGGTGTCTGTCCCACTCCAGCTCTGGTCTCCCATTTGGTGCCTCCCCTCCTTGCCAGCCTCAGGACAGGCGACCCACCTCTTGTCCCTCTGCTGGGAGCCTGGGCTTGGAACTGTGCCTCTAATTCCTGGTGGTTTCATCCGCTATCTTCTTGGGATTTTGCAAATGGAAAGGAGAAGGGATGGGGGAGGGAGGAGCAGAGAACCAACCCTGGAACTGTCCACCTTTTTTGAGCGGGTGGAGGACAATGCTGTGAGTTCAGCATTGCAACTGGATGTGGCCATTGTTCTTGCCTTTACCTCTTGCTCTCTGCAGGGCCCCCTGCATAGGGCTTCCAGTGGATGTTGTTGTCGGGAGACTCCTTGTTCCCCTCCTTGTCATCGTGGGACTCCTTGTCCCTCTGCATAGGGCTTCCAGTGGGTGTCGTATCACTGTGAGACTTCTTGCAGCCTGACTCTGGGGCTGTCCTCCCCTGGGGGTGTCCCTTTCCCTGACTGCTGCCTGTGCCCCTTCCCTCTGCAGGTACCACTGTGTGTCCTCCGTGTGACAACGAGTTGAAGTCCGAGGCCATCATTGAGCACCTGTGCGCCAGCGAGTTTGGTGAGAGCCTGTTGCTGGGTGGGGCGGGACAGGGGTGGTGTGGGGGACTCCACAGGCCCCAGAATTGAGAGAGAGAGAGCGAGAGAGAGAGAGAGAACTTTGTAGGGTGTAGGAGAGAGAGAGAACTTTGTAGGGTGTAGGAGAGAGAGAGAGAGAACTTTGTAGGGTGTAGAAGTGACCAGTTTTCATCAGAGTGGACCTGCTTCTGCTCAGAGCATCACATGGAGGGAGTTGGATTTAGGGGCTGACTGAGGGGTCAAGCAGCCACCTCCCTTCCCCACCCTCTGGTCCTACACCAGGGGTCAGCTTTTTGGCTGGGTCCTGCCTGGACTAGCCCTTTTTGCATCCCTGCCTAGGGATCAGTACTCCTCTGCCCAGGATTTAAATAGCTAGTAACTTCCCACTGAGTGGTGGGGGTAGTCAGAGGAGGGTCTTCCCAGGTGTCTCAGCCAGAGACAGTTTTAAAATCAGCCCTTAGAGTGTCCCAGGTGGTCCCAAAGGAGACTCACGTCCCCATACCCCTGGGAGCTCTGTTCTAGCCCCTGCCTGCGTGGAAAGGGGAATTGGCACATGCCAGACCCCCTACACCCTGGTGTCCACTGACGGAGAGGTTCAATTGGCTAACCAGGCAGTGTACATGTGTGCATGTAATCCTAATTCCTGCCCTGTGTCCCTGAGGTTGGATTTCTGGCCACATTCCTCTCTAGGGAAAGCTAATGGTAGGCAGCGTGGGTCAGAGCCGCTGCTGCCACTCCCAGTCTCCGTGAATACGCACTGGAGATGGAGAGATGTATGACGGGCTCTTGTTGCTGCCAAGGCCATTGCTGCTGGCCTGGCACGTGACGCAAATTGTCTGTCGGGTCACGTCCACAGCTTCTCAGGGTGTTCATACTTGTGGCTAGCTGAGGACAAGGTGAGGGGGCAGCTGGAGGGTCTGAGACCCTCTGCCAGGGGTTTCCGGACAATACATCCATCTCAGGTGCTTCCTCCTGGCTGTGAAAGGGAAGGATTGGATCCACTCGGCTGTTGGTGGTGGAGTCCCAATCCCCTTTGAAAGGTTTTCCTCATTGCCATGTGGAATGAGCTCCATCACAGAGGGCTGGTGCGTGCCAACTCCGACAGCCCGCGTGTCGACTCAGCGAGTAGCAGCATTCTGGATGGGCAGGCTGCAGCTGCATCCGAGGGTGCCTGACCCGGCACGTAGTCCCTCACTGCCTGCTGGCAGCCAGCTTTCTGTCCATAGCTCAGGTTCAGGTTCTTTTCCAAACATGCCTTTGGACCCACGGGGAGCACGCTGTGAATGTGCCCTCTGAGAAACCCTGACAAGAAGCCTTTTGTTGCCTGGCCAGGGGGGCAGTGCATGCGCAAATCTGCTTGCGATCCCCAGGGACCCTCCGTGGGCTAAGGCAAGTGGGCGAGTTGCTGCTGTTAAATTGCCATGCTGTGTGTGGTGAGCATCCAGGCCCTTGAGCGTACAGGCACTCACCTTAGAGTAGGCACTGGGAAGCAGTGTGTGTGTGTGTGTGTGTTCCTCTGGGGTCCGTGAGGCCCCGTCCCTGATGGATGAGTGCTGGACAGCCCTGGTAGTGATGGGCAGGCAATGCTTTCCCGTTGGGGAACATAGAATTCAGTATGTGTGTGTGGGCTTGCCCATTGAGTATAAAGCTCAGTGCTGCCATCCAAAAGTGCCCAACCTAGAAATACATTAGAATTTAGTTTTAGTGTCTTTAAAAACCTGACTAAAGGCCTAGGCAGGGATTTCCTACAGGATCATGGCCTCGGTTTAACAGGCAGGGGCTGCAGAGATGGGCACATCAGATCATCTGGGTCTTTGGTGCAAAATTGGCGTCAGGACCTCTTTCTTATTTCCCCAGTGGCTTGCCCCCAAATCCTTGTTCCCCGGGGGCTTGGTGGAAGCTGGTTCACTCAGAGACATGGGGCTGCTGTGGCCCAAAAAGTGAACCTCAGTAGAGAATTGTCATGTGGGCATTGGGTGACTGTGGTGTGGGCCAGGATCCACTGGGCATGTGGGAAGGCGGGTGACTGTGGTATAGGATGGGATCCATTGGGGACCCTGGTGACTCACTTGGGAGGGACAGCCTTGCTCTCTGCAGCAGGTGCAGTACCTGTAGGTTTAGTAAACCACCAAGTCTGTCTGCAGCTGGGATGGTGAGTCTCATGCTAATACGCTTTCAGGCTTCTGTGAGTCCCAGCGGTTAGTCCATTGGGACTGTTTCTCTTTAGCCTTGAGATGCCAGCTTCCTTCCTTCCTTCCTTCCTTCCTTCCTTCCTTCCTTCCTTCCTTCCTTCCTTCTTTCCTTCCTTCCTTCTTTCCCTCCTTCCTTCCTTTTTTTCTTTGTTTTAATATTTATTGGGGCTGGCACTGTGGCATAGCAGGTAAAGTCACTACCTGCAGTGCTGGCATTCAGTATGGGCACCAGTTCAAGTCCCAGCTGTTCCACCTCCAGTCCAGCTCCCTGCTTACACACTTGGGAAATCAACATAAGATGGCCCAAGTGCTCGCATTTCTGTACCCACTTCGGATATCCGGAGGAAGCTCCCGGCTCCTGGTTTTGTCCTGAAGTTCCTTAGCCCTGGGTTTTTGTGGTCATTTGGGGGAGTTAGTGAATGGAAGATCTCTGTGTGTTTTCCTCTTTTAGTAAACCTTTAGAAAAACTTTAAAAACTGTTCATCTGTAACTCAACTATAGAGCAGAGCCAGAGAGAAAGAGGGAGAGAGAGAGAGAATGAAAGGGAAGGAGCTTACATCTGGTAGTCGCTCCAAAATGGACAGGGCTAGTCCAGTTGAAACCAGGCACCTGCAAGTCATCTGCATCCCGCAGGCATGTGGCAGGAGCCCAAGAGCTCCCCATCACCTGGCCCCCCAGGGCTCCGCATGCGGATTGGAAGCAGGACTTGAACCGGCATTCCGATGCGGGACGCAGGCATTGCAGGCTGTGGCTGCTGGGGTTCATTTGATCTGATCGAATTTTCTTTTGGGGTTCTTGGCATTTTGGGGTTCCTCCTGAATTTTGGAGGCCATCTTACTTGATCAGAAGGAAATCTGAGTCTCCCATTCAAGGCTTTTGGGCTTGGCCGGGGCTGCCGGCCTCACTCAGGAAGTGACGGACGAGTGTGCAGGCTGCACCAAGCATATACACGGGCAAGACCCGGATATAGGAAAGGCCTTCTGTCTTCCTCACTGCTTCCACCCCCACCCCCCATGTTCCTAGACAACAGTGAATGGGATTGTTTTTGGCTCAGTCCCTCTCTCTGCGGGAGCTGAGCTGAGCCCTGCCCTTCTTAGCACCCTGGAGAAGGCAGCCTTGTTGAGAAGCTTGTTTCTTAGCTCAGCTCACTTCAAGCTAGGGAGGCAGTCAGCCAGGCTGATGGGATTCGCTTAGGAAACAAAGAAGCGAGCTGACATGAAGCGGAGAAGAAAAAGCAATTTGACTCCCTACTCTCAGAGATCAAACTCTGCATTCACTGCGCCTGCCATTCCTGGTGGGAAGACATGGCGTGGGGGCCTGGGAGCTTCAATGAGCTGCAGAAATAAGGGCTGAATAACTTCCGGGTCAGCAGGCACACTCGCCCTCCAGCCCGTGCCCCCAGTGGATGGAGCTGGAGCACGGAGGAGCTGGGTATGTCCCCTCCTCCTGCCTTCTTTCCTTTGCCCAGGCGTTGGTTTTTAACCCTGTGTGGCAGGTGCCTGAACTCCCATCCTTTCCACTGTGGTACTGTACCACACGCCAGCGGTTAACTGGTGGCCCAGTGTCCAAACCTAACCTGACGCCAGGCCCGTCAGCCACACCTGGCTCAGGACACAGTGGCCAGTTCTTGCTGTGGTGCCCTCGATGCCAAGCCAGCGGACTGTGTGGGAGCTGCCCCACTGGCGGCAGCAGTGCCTGCAGCCCAAGGCATCTCCAAGCCGGATCAGGAGGACTCCTCTTTCCCCACCCCCCACTCTGGCCACCTTCTCCAGCTCCCCCTCCAGGATCTGTAATACCCTCAAGCTGTTCTGGCACACATTTGCATGACAATATATGAGGGCACTGCAAGAAGTTCACGGAAAACGGAATTAAGTTCTTTTTTGTGCCAAACATTTCGAAATCCACGCCTTCTCAGAGAGCTTCAGAAGGATCAAGGAGAATGAATATTATTTGAAAAAAAAAAGCAACTATGCACGGGTTTCAAAGTTTAGTTGTTATACCAAATACACATTGCTTCATCCTGCTTTGCCCTGGACCGTGTTATTTTTTCCTGAAGTCCCCGAGTTTCCATTTTGCTAGCTTCGTTTGTTTCTGTGCTTGCTGTCTGCAGGTTTTGCTCAGAGGGGGCAATCTGGTGAAACCCAGTGCAAGTGCCTTGCGTTTCGGAAGGATTTTTTTTTTTTTCCCTTTTGGAATTATGAATTTTCCCATCGAGAGCGCCTACACTTTGCAGTGTTGAACTTGGGTCCAATAGGACAGCAGAGGACCTCAGGTCCCCTGGTAGTGCTGGAGGGCAGGGGCTGGGAGTCTGAGCTCTGCGCCTTGATTAATCACTGCTGCTTGTGCTCCAGCCCGCTTTCAAGGCATTGAGAAATACAGTGTTTCCAAACCGCAGAGCAGGGGGAGGGGAGAGAAAGGGGTAAAAGGAGGAGGAGTCAATTGGCATGATTGACAGAGCAGTGAGACCTGGTGTTTAGCGCGAAGCAGCCCTGTTTGTCCCCGGATCTGATGCCTGGTTCCTGCTCCCCTCTCCCCACCCCCCACTGCCACCTTCCCATGCCCTGGTGGCCTCTGGGCACAGTGCCTCCCATGTGGATATGAAATACAAGTGTGTCAGTTATGTGTGTGTGCGCGTGTGAATGTGTGATGTGGGCTCCTTGTTTCATACTGGAGAGAGCCCTTCCAAGCACATGTGAGCGACGTGTTCATTAAATTTAGAAAAAATTGCATGGCATGCCCTGATTTGGGTGACACACACACATACACACACACTAACTGTGACTCCTGGGGT